GTCTGGTTTTTCCATATTTGAACCCTCTGAGGTCCTATTTCTTCACCGCGAGGATTGTGAGTGCCTCCGAAAATATTCATTGTCTAGATATGCTTGAAGGCTTCCAAGAGTTGGTCCGTTTCTGGCAGACGTAGATCTAATTTTATTAAGCCTGGAAGGAGTGGTTCACTTCACGAACCAGAGAACGCATTAGTCACAACCCTTGTTGAGGTGGTAGCTATCCAACATTAGGTCGCTGTTAGTTCCTGAAACGTTTTTCACTCCGTTTTGTCCTTCATGCCACTTGTCAGCTATTAATATTGCCTCCGGAAAGGTAATGCTGAGATGACAGAATGGGATATTTCTCTTGTTTCTCATTTAGATCTACGTAATTCTGTCTGATTAAGCCGTTTGACACTTCACCCTTTCCTTTCGTCGTTGGTTGTCGAACACAAGCCAGGGCAAACGGATGAGAGGTGGGGAGGAGCGGCTCCCGGTAATTCAATAACCCCAAACTAGTCTAATTTGATTGGGATTCCGCTGTTGCCGAGAGAGATAGCGGTTAGAACCAGCCTAGATAGTGAACGAGCTGGTGAGTTAGCTAGGGTAGGCTTTCTAGATAGCAAGCTCGAAAATGAATAAAGACACACACGGTGTGTGCAGTGCGTGTGGGCTTCTGACTCACACACACACACTGCGCGGACGTGCGCACACATGCACGCACAAGTGTTTCAAGGGCTGACTAATTACTCTGCCTCCTGCACTGGTTTACAGCTACAGAAGCAGCAAAAGCACCGGATGCCGCTTCTCCTTCTATTACCGCCACCACAGCGATGATTGAAAGATCTGTTTTGGGAAGCACGAGTCGGTGTCGGGAAGAGAGGAGTGCGACTTGCTTGTGGCGCGTAGTTCATGTATTTTAGGAGTTGGTATTCATCAATTTAGTGGTCCGTTCACTCGTTCTCTTGCTAGTCTTTTAACCCTTCATAGTTTGTTAATGATTAAAGTGAAGGCTACGTTGTGAGTGCTTAAGTTATCGTCCACTTTCGACTATACACTTACGTGTCGTTAATTCTCATCGTCATCACCCTTCATTTCTTGTAACCAACTATCTCTAAATTATCTTTATTTTTAGACGTTTCCCTTCATCTGCACCAAAGGTCTCCTAATCGCTCTAAGTTCAAATTCTAAACGGCTTCTCATAACTTCTGAAACGTTGAAAAGGTGTGTTTACCTGTCTTTCGGTGGTTTTACAGAAAAGGCCTGTCGATCATTTTGCTTCATGACCCACCCATGCCAAAATCGAGGTAGCTGAATGATTCAATGCTAACTGCCTGTCAAAACACCTACGGTTCCTGTGCAGTCTATGAAATCCGGTCTGTAGAATTGAATTTTCCATCCGAAGATAACTGCAGGGAGAACAAGGCTAAGGTAACAGACTGGTCCTTTTGCAAGTTAGCAGCTTGCAGCGTATACTTTGGCGATTCCTATCAGCGACGTCACTGCTTTTCATTAGTCAAATCGTCAACTCTGGGTGTGAATAGTGCAGACGACTGGTTGGTGGAGGTGATGTCAACGGGGTGTGTCTGGCGAAAGTGCAGATCTATCACAGCCACTGTGATTTGTGTGTGCGTATATGTGTATGTATGTAAGCCTAAAGTGCAATGACGCAGTCAGCCGATCAACGCCGTTTCGGCAGGCGATCTGTCTCCTAACAAGCAAATTGGTGAACTAGTCGATATGGATACCTAGGAGCCCTCCTTCTTCGTCATTTCCCCAAATCCATGTAGGATAAAGACTTGTTTACTAATTTTTCTCCTACACTTTGGCATTGAAATCTGACTTTAAGTTTGATGCGAGTTCTCTAAATCTTCTTTGGTTGTCAACACGTCGAAAGCTTCGTTGGTTAATGTTGAGCTGTAATCCATCGATGAAAATGTTTGTCGTTAGTTTTACTGATTTTCGTCTGGATAAGGCTTTGACGTCGTTGCTTTTTAATGAACTGCAGGTACAATTTCTTCATCCTGTCTCTAGCTTATCAGTTGGCGTTCCAAAATAAGGCAATAGATGTAAACATTAGTGTAATGCCTTTACCCAATCTCGTGAATGCAACAATTTAGAATGAGCGAGTTAAGTTTGACTTTTTATGTCAACACGTTTTTATAAACAACTTTAACTGCTAGCTTTGTGGGAAGCAGGCGTTTTGAAATCCACGAAGAGTGTGTTACCACAGCGTTTCCTCTTGTTGCACTTTATACAGGTGGGATACGACAGACATTTCCACCCAAAGGTTCCTTCTCTCCAACGAGCAAGTTCTACTGCTTGGCATTAATAATGATTTTGTTCATACAAGCTTTCGACGATGTGCTTCCTCGAGACTCGCTCTGCATCTATTCTCTTTCACGCTAAGGGTAATAGGAAGGCCTCTTCGTTAGTTTTTAACAATTTGCATTCGTCTAGCAATTGACAGAAGTTTTGGATTCTGTAAACTCGTGAGGTTCTGTGATATTTCCATTTTCCACTAGGGTCTGATTTGTGGTCTTCCTGCATGTCTCTGAGTGCTCAGTTCAGTTTCACTGCATTTTAGATTGTATGGCGAGCGGATTTCGTTCAATGTAAGAGTCCGCGATACCGAATATTGACTTGGAGATTTCTGCGTCCATGTGTATTTATGTTGCTGAGAGTAGCATTTCCATGAAATGTGGTTTTGTAACGTGGAACTATGTGGGACACTCTTGTAACTGATTATGCGCCTTTTCTCCATTAGAGATGTGTAAGAAACACTCGGATTTGAATGCTCCCGATGCCACACTTTCGTCCTTGGGCCTGGGCGTTTATAGTATGTCCTCTCTTACCTCCTTGGGCGCCGCGATCTACGGCCAACTGGTCACTTTCGATCAGCTTTCCCAGCTCGGCCATCATCACCATCATCAGCAACGCAAGCAGCAGCAGCAACTGACTGGGACAAAAACAGTCATTACCACTACCTCCTCCTCCTCCTCCTCCTCACCACCACCACCACCTCAGTCACCACCGACTCCAGCTCTGGCTTCTACAACAACTTCCTCTCTCCTTAACGTGATGTCCGCTTCGGCTTACGCGAATCTGGACCCTTCCTATTCCCTGAAAGGTAAGTCATCGGCGACGGCGGCACCTCAACAGCAGCCGATGGAAGTCGAAGCAATGGAGCTAAGTAGTTCCAGTGGAAGTCCTCTCTCCGCTACTGGAAGCAGCATCGCCAACGCCGGTGTCAATAACACTTACAGCTATCCAACCTTTCCCTATTGCACTGCTACCAGTGCTGCGACCACGGTCACTACGACTGCGGCTGCGGCTTCAACAGCTGCTGTGACGACAGTTTCCGCCTCCACTGATGCGATCCAATTTGGTCGGCTTTTACATCAACAACAACCACCGCAACGGCTTTTGGTGCGAATGTCGGTGAAGCTGATACAAACCTACGAGACTATCAATGAGGTAAATCGTTCTCTTTGAATTTGTTTTATCTATAGTTCCTTTAGACAGTTCCTTGATTTATTTCGTGTCTTGCCATTGTCCTAGTGATAACTGTCATGCCAAGGGTTTGAGCTGCCAGATGATCTGAAAGTTTTGTTACTGAAAATCAACTTGTATTTTGCAAATGTATCCTTGAAAGCCCGTCTATTTTAGAGGTATTTGTGTATAGTCTAGTAAATGCACCCACGAAAATATATGGCTTTGGTGAACTACTTGCAGCAGTTAAGCAATTTCGGGGTGCGTACTTCGTCCAAGCCCGTTGTAAAGCTTACATCACTGGAATGTTGCTGGCTTGCCTAACATCACTATGTGAAGAGTTTGCCACACTTCGTCATTCATACTGCATGATGGCGTGAAGGACTTCAGTCTGAGGCTTCCCCCTCACACTTTATCCAGTATTGTTACTGATAAGAGGACTAAGGTACTTTGAGGTCTATTTGCCTCCTTTGTGATCTTGCGTAAAGGCCTGCGAGGCTGGCAGTGGAATGTTGATCGACGAAAGGTTGGCGAAATATGCACCACCATTCTCTCGTTACGCACCGCCTTTAGTGTTCCCCTTCTACCTCGTCTTTTACCCGCTTTATGGTGTCTTACTCTTAATTGCTCCAGCTGTTTTGTATGTTGAGTACTTCCTTCCAATGGGAGGGCTGCCTGACTGAAGTACTCTTCTCCAATTGCATTCATGCCGTCAACACAGTCCCATGTGATTGCTCTTTTGCGTAGATCGTCACAATTATTATTTTGTCAGGATGAAGCGACTCTTGAGCTCCACGATAGTCTTGTCTCTCGATGATTCATCTTTCATTTTCCGTTGTCAAAGCGCATTAACTATGCATTTTGGAGGTCGATGCTATGCAGCAAACAAGGTTTTTCATATGTCAATCGCATTTCACATAGGCTTCCGTCAAAAGAAATGTGATTTTATAGAAGCTCCATCCCAACTGCTCTTCTACCTTCATTTTATAATGGATGTAGTATCGCTAGAGTAATTCAATTTTCCCCATTTTTCTGCCCGTTTGGAAGTGTTGCGGTGGTAAATGTGGATCTTGGCTATGCAAGGCCACATTTTTTGGCGCACTGGTAAGCAAATTTAAAGCTTTATTTTTCAATCACTCACGGCCGATATCACTCTTCGATCATATCTCGATTAAGGCAGTTGCACTCTTTGGTAGAATGAAGGGCGTTGGGCTCATCTCAGTCTCGCAGCTGGCGTGGTCCATGAATTACTCCGTCATGAAATTGTGTAGCGCGCAAGTGTGTATGCGAGTGACCGGTTCGTTGTTATTATTCCACCCTGAACGTCGATCCACGCAATTGCGTGCACACTCTGTTGAAATTTACAGTGACACGAGCATTAGCTGCCATGACTGCAATGCGACTGGCCTTCAACCAACATTGTATCTGCTACTGTGGCCTTCCCCTAGACAACGGACTCTCCTCATCAACTGGTTTGTGCACACACGAGGAGCATCTATGTTTATACATTTGTAATTGATTTAGAGGTCATGTCGGCGTGTCTGGTAAATCGCATTACCTCCCACCTACCAGCACGCACACACACGTCTGTCAAACTGTGCATGTGCGAACGTGCGCGCACGCACACTGGATTGGTGTGACCTGTGAAATATGCAGGCTGTCTGTCAGTTTTGCAGCCCTAAAAGTCACATTATCCTCTGTTAGTCTGGGGTCTTCCCAAACCATTTGTCAAGACGGTTGGCAATTTTGAAGGGAGAATTTGTAGCATAACGACTGATCAACCCACCGTCCACCAGTCCTACAGTGTTTCCAGGTGGTGGCAAGGTTAGCAAAGATCGAAGAGGTTGCTTTGTTGTCGACGCTTGGACTAATTTCGTTCCTTTAATTACTTGGAATTCCCGAGTCTGCGCTACTACTAAGTGCTTTGGTGTGACGCTTCCTTGGATCGTCATTGCACCTAGACGCATTCCTCTTAGGACTTGCCAGCACTAATGTTGCGTCCTGCGTCACCATTTGGAATGGCTAGACAAATGCCTAGTCAGTGGACCATTATCCTGCCGGTCTATTGGGGAAATCGGGCACGCGGGGAAGGGTCGGTAGAGTAAGGCAGTATCGCGCCTTCATTCCTTTGATCCCATGTTCCCTTTGATTCTCCTTTTTCTTCCCCTAGGTCTGCTTCCACAGGAGGTCAGTAGACCTCTAAATGAGCCTTAGATATTAGCGAACGCTCGGTAAGTCAATAGATGGATAGCTGCATCGATGGGTGGTTGGTAGATGCTTGATGGTAGACCGATAGAAAAACACATAACCCTATGGGTATGGTGGTAAACGGTTTAGATCGCTGTCTACCCCTAGGTCTACTTCCGCAAGAAACGACGGAGAGAGCAAGCTTGTGAAGAGAACCTCATGAAACGCGACCGCAAGGGAGGTCACGAAGCTGCTGCTGTAACCACTGCTAACACCAACTCGACCATTGGTCACTGTTGTGTCCTCACGGGTTCCGGATGCAATTCAAGCACCAATAGCACTTCCAGTCGGTCCTGCTGTTGCCAAGTCCACCATGGTCGGGCTGCCAATGGAGCTGCAGGTGCGGCGGTTTGGAACGCTAGCGCTGCGCCGAATCCCTTTCAACAGCAGCAACAACAACACCTTTATGACGTCGGTAAGAAACGATGAGTCTCTCATTTCAGTCTATCATCTACGCTTCTCACCGATGTGATTATGTATTAGGCAATCGGCAACAGCAACAACCACAACAGCAACAACAGAAAGTGAGCTGTCCGACCTTTCCTATCCCTCCTCCTCCTCCGCCCCCTCCTCCCCCTGCTGCAACAACAGTAGCAGCAGCTTCCAATGTCTCTGCCGCATCCTCCAATGTCATCTCTGTTCCACGAAGCGTTCAGGCTGCCGGTGGAAGCGGCAACAGCAGTAGCAGTGGTAGCAACCGTCTCCTTCGCCACCAAGGTGCAAACGACTTTCTCAAGATTGGCAGTGTGTGGATGGATCGGTATGAGATCACCGATATAAAGGGAAAGGGCACCTTTGGACAGGTGAGTGGCGATTCACTGTGTATGCATATAGTCAGGCCGTACCATGTCGTTAGGAGGTGGATTAATTCAATGTAACTCATAAGTTGCCGAAATCCACCTTTTGACATCCACATTCATATTAGCAGTAGCTTGGAATCGCTTTTTACATATGCCTATTTTGTCACTTGCATCTTCGTCAAGAGGTAGTGCACCTTGTAGTGTTCAATAAATGCTTCATCAAAACTAGTGTTAAATCGTTTCTCAAGTGTTTTCTGTTGATATTGTGAGGGAATCTGTTTGCAACCCTCTTACCTGCACTCCAGGCACTCTCCGTTAGGCTCAAGTTAGAGGGCTAAGGTTATGCTGGCGCGTTGGTCAGAGAACTATCAATATAGCCGTACCAAAATATGTATTTGAACCGTTTTCTGCGTGCAGATGTGAAGGTAGTGATGGGTTTGTTTCTTATGGCCTCTTGGGGGGGAGGGGGGGGAAGTGGATGGGCCTTGGAGGTTTTCGTGCTCTTCATGCATCTTTCATTGACTGCCAACGTGTTTAGCATACAGCATTCCGCCTAGTATGAAGCATAGTGGTTGAGGTGGTCCGTGGTGCATGCGTGAGTATTGATGATGGGGTCTGCATGCGCCTACTTGTCAGTGATTCCTCATCCTCTACTTTTCCGCTGCTACTACATGCCAGTTCTACCGGTACGGAAAATGGAAGACATAATGCAGCGTCACCATGCTTCATCCAAGATATTGGGGCGTGATTACCTCATCGACTCCTTCGCATCCTCTAGGCCTAGTTAAAAAGAAAACTAACCTCAACAGGAATACGAATCCATTCAGTAGTGGAGGTATTCTTCTCCACTCTGGCGTTCATTACAGGTCTTTCGAGCGCACGACCGCAAGACGCACGAAGAGGTGGCCATAAAGGTGATCAAAAACCGTCGCCAGTTTCTCGCCCAAGCCGAGATCGAAATTAAGTTGCTGCGCGAGATCGCACGCTTTCAGGAGAACGAGCAAAGGGCCGCCGAGGTGGGCGCCAACTATGTCGGTGAGTTATTATTTGTGTAACCCTTAGCATCGCAGTGATTAATTCATCCCACCAGCCGGTTGGTGATCTCCTTTCCTCCTTGCTTTGAAAGTGGTGAGTGATGAAACTACTACTTGGACAGTCAGCACGCTAACGTCCTTGGTTATTAATGGTGGTGCTACGGAATTCACGAATGAGAGACGTTGGGAAAGATTAGATCATCGTCTTGAATGCGCAGCTAGACAACGCGCGCTTTCGACTTTGCGAAGCGTCTGCACGTAGCAAGAGCTGATCAAGTTCTTTTCTAGTTGGTATGCAAGCCTTTCCTATTTTCGCTATCCTAATATCAGCATGGAAGAGGTGATGGAGACATTGAGAAGAGGGACTACCGGTATCACCGCTTATTGCCATCTACCATCGTTCCAGTTTACAGTGTTTGCCTTGTCTTGAATAGTGAACCTGAAGGGCTACTTTACGTACCAAGGCCACTGGTGCCTGGTGTTTGAGTGCCTCTCCTACAACCTCTACGAGCTGCTCACCTATACGCACTTTCGCGGCGTCTCCCTCCACCTCACCCTCAAGTTTGCGCGCCAACTATGCGCTGCCCTGGTCTTTCTATCCCGTCCTGATGTGCGCGTGATGCACTGCGATCTCAAACCCGAGAACATTCTTCTTGTCACACCCAAGCGCTCCGATCTGAAGGTGATCGACTTTGGCAGCTCCTGCCACGTCAACGAGAATGTGCATCAGTACATCCAGTCTCGTTTCTATCGGTGAGTGGTATGGGCTTTACAATGTAGAGGGTGGCCCGTACCTCTGGGTCTGCTCATTCATATCACCCATTTTGCAATCGTAACTAGGCTCTCTTTCCAGAACGTCTCTCTGTCTATCATCTTTAATGCCCTGATGGGATTGAGACAAGCGCTTTCTGCTAACACGTGTACCCATGACCACTTCGTTGGTTAAATGTCGCGAAGCTTTGCATCCGTCTTTGTCGTTGCACTGAGTGGGCTAAATTCACTTTATCATTTCATTTTTGCAGCGCTCCCGAAGTCCTTCTCAACCTCGACTACGGCCTTAGCATTGATATGTGGTCATTGGGCTGCATCCTTGTCGAAATGCACACCGGTGAACCCCTTTTCTCCGGCTCAAATGAGGTATGATGCACCCACTTCAAGTCGCCCTCTTTCGATCATTCATCACTTCATTGTGTATTGCCTCTGCCAACAATTTATTCTTCTGCTAGCTTGTCTACATTTATTTGTTTACAGTTGGAACAGCTTCTGCAGATAGTTGAGGTGTTGGGCCTGCCACCACTGTGGATGCTGGAGAAGAGTCCGAAGCTGGAGCACTTCTTTGAGCGAGTCAGCGACTTTCCTCCAGCTATCGCAACCTCCACAACTGCCTCTTCCACCTCGCTCTCTACCACGATGACGAGTGTGCTATCCACCTCCTCCGTTTCATCCTCTTCCTCCTCCTCCTCCTCTACGACCTCCTCACAAGATCGCATGGATACTACCTCTATCGCATCCGCGGCGTCCCTTCCTGGCGGTGGTGGTGGTGGTGGTGCAAATTCCTCGTCGACACCGCCTTCCCCCTTCTCTAAGGCTTGTGTCACTATCAGAGGCATTGTCTATCGACCGAGGCGAATCTACACAAAGGGGAACATGACAATGAAGGTGAGAAGCGTAGGTCTTATCGAATCCTCGTTTTAAAATAGGAAGCGGAGGTGAGGAGCATATTGCATTAATATGACGTTCGGTCGGATGGTTGTTGGGGCGGTGCGGGTGGACGTTGAATAGGTTTGTTAAGGCGATATGGGTCGTGTAGTTGGTGTGATGAGAGGATGAATGGATGTGCGATAGCTGAAAGTTTGGACAATTGTCTGAATGCGCAGTAGTTCCCCACTCGTTTCAAACCTCTTAGCTCACTTGTCTTACCTCTTATGGTGCTGGCAGTGCCGATTCCAAGGCCCGCACACACGACCTCTACAGGAGGTGCTCGGCCGAGACACCGGTGGGCCGGCAGGTCGTCGACAGAATGAGGAGGGTCACGCTCCTGAGGATTACGACAAGTTCATTGACCTCGTACAGAAGATGCTGGTCTACGATCCTCGACATCGCATTAAACCGGATGAGGCTCTGGCTCACCGCTTTTTCGAGCGCAAGTCCTCCGTCTCGGCCTCTGTCAGTTCCGCTTCCGCTTCCACTGCCTTCGTCTCTACCGAAGGTAAGATGCACCTTTTTATCTTACCTCTTATTTGTTCACCTACAAGCAGTGAGTAGTTGTCCATTTGCATCTACGTCAGTGATTCAAGGGTCATGTTTCTTTTTTTCATCCCAATCCATGCATCATTAGCCTTGTAATAAGCCATAGCAGCCGGATGTATGCATCATTATTATTATGTGTGTGCGTCTGTGTGTATGGCTTTCCTGTTCTTTAAGGTCATCCCGCGGTGAATAGTACGGCGCCAACAGCGGCTACAATAACAGCGACAACTAGTGCCAATGTGGTTGCTGCGTTGGCAACAACTCCTATGGTTGTCGTACCGAAGCGGTTTGCGGAGGAGGTTCCACCACCGACAGTTGGCAACACGTCGGGAGGCGGAAGAAGTCCAGCCTACCTGACTTTTGCGCCGAATCAGCCGGATCAGCCCTCAACAACGCAGCCACAGCCACAGCAACAACAACAGCTACAGTTGCAGCCGCAGCAGCAGTAGAAAAGAGCGTCATCTCCATCATCATTACTAAGAACATCTTTATTCTTCTTCTTCTTCGACGGGCAGCTTTTAAAGACGTGCGCGCACGCGCTTGCGCCAGTGCCTAGAATTCTTCCACCTCCTCTCCTTCCCTTCCACCAACACCTCTCTCTCTCTCTCTCTCCTTTCTTTCTTGGCTAAATAAATGATCCTTAGGCAGCTATCCCCATCCCTCTCCCACCACAATCGTGTCTTTCTTCCGCGCTAAAATCTTTCTTTCTAAAATCACACATCGCCTGCTGCTGCTGCTGCTGCTGCACAGCAACACACACGAAAAACACAACGTGTATTCCCTCTCCCGCCCTCCTGGCCTAAGTTTGTTTATTTCTGTACATATAGTACATATATATACGAAAAAGACACATTATAATCACACGCACACACAGACAAACTGACAGACTGACTAAGTGACTAATTGACAATGACAGTGACTACTCGATCAACAGACGGGTGGACGGAGAAATGAACTGACCGACTGGAGTACTTATTTTCCCTTTCTCCCCTCCTAACGAGCGCCATTGTGCGTGTGTGTGTGTGTGCGTGTTTTTGTTGAAAGAGGAGAAGGAAAGACGAAGGAATTAGAGAAGACGCGCCTTCTGCCTTCCTCCTCTTGCCCCTTCCCTCCTCGCCCCTCTCTCACTCTCTCGCCTGTCTTGTGTACAAAGCCACACATCGACCGGTGTCGTATCCACACACGTTTTCTCCTTTCGCTCTTGCGGTCCGGTGCGTGCAGGAGGAGGTGATATTTTAGCGCCCTGCCTCACTCGAAAGTGAATCTTCTAGCCCGTGACTTGACCTATGACCTGGCACAATCTCCTAACCAGTTTCCCGATCCCTTTTTTTGCATCCTTCTTTATTGGTCCAGTCTGGTTTTATCCGTGCCCGTCTCGGGTACTCTGCACACACGGCTTTTGCAGCGCCAACTCAATCTTAGTCCCCACCCCCCGTCCCTATCTATCAACACCCTCACACTATCTATCTGTTTCCTCCTCTTTCTCTTCCTCCTACTCTTCCAGTTCCTCCTTCATATCTCTCTCTGTCTCTCTTTAACTACCAAACATGAGCTCCAATAATCACTACTGATCCGGTAGACATGGTTTTGGCCCTTGTTTGGTAAATCTAGCCCCTTCCCCGTTCCGGTCTCCCGATCTCCTCCATTGCAGGGCAGTCATTTGTGACACTCCGATTATTTCCACATCGAAATCGCACTGTTGGTTGCGGGTGATGAATTGGCTCTTTACGGAGCGATATGTTGGGCGTGGATTGTGCGCACACCTTCGCTTCTTCCCCTTTTGCCTGTCTTGAGGGTAGCGAATTCTTGCTCAGTATGCTGTGCCACCTCGCTCTCTGGTTTAACTTACTTGATAGGCCCACTTGAAGAGTGGTCAGTAGGGGAGCGGGTGTGTGGGTCGTACATGGCTCTCGCGGAGGTCCGCATTGATGACGCGACGCTAACATTGTTAGGCTTGGGAACTGCGCCAGTTTCTCGCTATCTGATTGATCTCTTGTCTCTTGATCTTCGCATCGTGGTGAGGAAGTGAGTTGTCAAAACTTCTCACTGCGTAAGCGGTTTTTCGTACTCTTGTAGACACTTTTTGGTCACCTGAATGCGATCACTTTATCGCGAACAAACAGTTGAGCGTGCATTTGTGAAGTGGGGCTACTCGTGTGTACTTTTGCATATTTTATGCCGATAAGGGAAGGTAGTGGAGGCGAGGAAAGGGGAGGGTAGGGGAGGGGTTGGAGACCTCGAACGCTCCTACACATATACATAAATTCTAAAATTAGTAAAGACGGTACACTTTATGGCACCTAAATATATTCGTGTGTTTGTATGTGCCTACAGGCATCCACTTGATACACATGGTGGCTATTTTGGTCGAAACATGCTTTGTTCATTTTTGTTCAAAGGCATTGCAGAACAGGGGAACGCATCTGCATATTTCGAATGCAAGAGATTGTTTTCCTGTTAATGTGTTCCCTAATTCAAAGTTCGAAGCCTCATCGATGTGGGCTACTTGGTGGGGATGAGAGAAGGGGAATGGCGGGCATAATGCACCTGGCAGTTGAGGTTGCTACCAGCTGGGAAAGGGTCGCCTGAATGCAGGGAGAAGAGGTAGAGAGATGCGTCCAAAGTATTGAGACGCAAGATGAATGGTTGGATGGTCATGGAGGTGAGTGAATGGTTGCGGATGGAAGGAGGGTGGAGGAAAGGGAAGGGAAGAGGAAGCGCATCCTCTTTCCATGCTGAGGTGAATGTGTGAGATGGTTTTGAAGTGAGATCAATGGTGCTTCATATTATTATTATTATTATTATTATTATTATCAAGACGAACTGCTATGTACTACGTCGTATTGGTTGTAACTGTGCTGGCAATGATGCAAAATAGCGTTACTGCGTCGCGTTTTAATATGAACGTGTTTGGGGTTTTTGGAAGTGGCACACCTCCCTCCGTCTCCTCCGCAATTGCAAGTGGGTGTGCGAAATGTAGCCTCCACAAAGTAGAAAGAGGCTGTCGGACCGTAACCTTTCATGGAGTCTGTAACCAGGCAAACTGAGTGTATGCATGGATTGATAAGCATTTGGCCATTGAGGTTCGCGAGGTACGATGACTTCAAATGCCTGTGCAGAAGGTGGCGCAGGAAGAGACGGTGCGAAGTGAGGGATTTGGGTTGGGCGGAGGGCGCATTAGCTTTGCAAGTGTTTGGCGGCAACACGTATCAGTTTGTCAATCCTAGTCATAGTATATTTGAAAGTAAATGTTGGTGCTACTAAATCCAATTCGGTAGTTGTTTTGTCACGTTGGAAAGTAAATGAAGACGAAATGGGATGGCATGGACTCATTTGCAACAGATCTTGTCAACGGGTAAAACAGTGTCAGCAATTTAGGGGATCTGGAAGGGATGACACTGGTCGGCCCACAACATGAATGCAAGAATTGAAGTCGTCGATTTTCGTGAGTGAACAGATACCTCCTCGGCTACATAGCCAAAACTACACGGTGTTTGCATTCTGCTTGCAGTAACGTAGGTGTACTTCATCCAAACACGTGCTCCACTTCTTACTTTGTACAATCATTGTGATGCTATTATTTTGTCACACGGAAATAACGCAGCCCACAACTGTGAGAAGTCACTACACCCAAGAGGAAATGGCAATGTGGGAGTGTGTTGTGCTTTTCAAGAGAGGGCTCAGGCTAACAAAGAGGGCTTCACCTCATAGCACAGACAGGCGCAGCAGTTGCGAGGGTGGAGGTGAAACAACATCTCTCGCAGTAGGCATCCTCACCAGTCGCCTAGGCGCATTGCCTCAGTTGTCCCAATTTCACATGACGTTGCTGTGGTCGTGTTTACGCACCAATTGCCACGTGGGTCATGCACAGAGAGGTCGCCTCATGGTCTCACACGCTTCCACAACTTACGTGCAAATAGTTATCTAGTAAAACCAGTTCGTTTGCAAAACAAAAGTTGGCGAGGCTTTGCCTCTGCCTCAATCAACGCACATGAAGGCTTCTCACTTGCGATATGTGAGGCATTGTGCTCTCAATCCCACACACACGGAGCTTTTGGCAGGCACAAATTGGCACCATGTGACTTGAGGCTGATGGAGGCGAGCGCAACCTTCGGCACCAAACACACAATAAGCGATTAGTGCTTTGAGATGGGGAATTCAACGATTGATGAGAAGTGCTAGCTATCATTAATTGGACGATGAGTCAAAGTGACAAAAAAGGCGGCGTTCGGAATGCCATTTGTTTGGCAATGCGTTAATCAACGCGATAATGATAAATGGCGTGGTGATGATGGTGAAGGCGGCAGCGTCGGCCGCGATTTGAAAGTAACTTGTGAGAAGGTGGCACTCGTGGTTATTACAGCAATGGACAAGGTTTTAACGCTTCCCCTTTATCCAGCATTTCCATCAGCGTGTGTGCCATGCCATTGGAACAAAGGCCAAAAGTATGGCTGGCCGGCTTGTTGCCTGTCCTAGGCATGCTGTGAGGAGCACATTGAGAAACGAGTTGAGGAACAATGGGCGAAATTAGCCGATGCTTCCTCTTCCCTCCTCCTCCTCCTCCTCCTTTTTACGTGTTAGCTTCCGGTAATGGAGGACCACGCAAGATTCAATCCTGAACAAGTCTTTGGTGGTCGGTGTACGGTCACTTCAAAGTGACACGTAGTTGGCCACTGCAACTACACCACGTCGTCCCATCACACCACGCACCACAAATCAACACAGCGCTGCTACGATACCAGCATGTCCAATTCTGTCACTAGAATGTCCTCTTCCATCATCAATCCGTGCTTTGCATAGGCGGCCCCTCCACTCCACAGCACTACAGCATAGAGACTGAAATTGTCTACGTGCCACTTGTGTCGCTGTGGTGGTGGTGGTGGTGGTGGTGGTGGTGGTGGTGGTGGTGGTGGTGGTGGTGGTGG